CCAACGTCAGCCTCTTGAGTAGCTGGGACTATAGGTGCATCCCACTATGCTTGACTGTTTTCTTTACTTTTCGTAGAGACAGGGTCTTACTGTGTTCCCCAGGCTGCTTTCAAGCTCCTGGCCTCAAGTGATCCTCCTGCCTCAGCCTTCCAAAATATTGGGATTACAGTTGTGAGCCACCACACCTGGCCGATTGTACCTTTTTATTATGGACTTTGAGGCGCTAGGTCTCTTGTATCATCAACCTCCCCCTACTCCTCCTCTTGTCACTTTATCCTCCCAGTACAGTTTGCTCATAATTTTTGGTTAGGCTAATATCAAGATTTATGTTAATAAAACTATGTTAGTATTATTCTCAACTGAATAGGGAGTATGATATACTAATATTTTCTTTATTCTTTTTATTTATTTATTTATTTATTTTTTGAGACAGGGTCTCTCTGTGTCACCCTGCCATAGCAGGATCACAGCTCACTGCAGCCTTTATTTTTTGGGCTCAAGCGATTTTCCCACTTCTACCGCCTGAGTAGCTAGGACTACAGGTGTGTGCCACCAGGCTTGGCTAATTTCTAAATATTTTGTAGAGGTGGGGGTCTCACTACATTGCCCAGGCTGGTCTCAAACTCCTGGCCTCAAGTGATCTTCTCACTTTGGCCTCCCAGAATACTATGATTACAGGAATGGGCCATTGCATCCTGCCTGTGGTAACATATTCTATCTTGTATAACTTTTTTGTCTTCCCTGGCATTAATAATTTTTGTTACTGTTTTTATTAGCATGGCTTTTTGTCTCCTTATCTCTTGTTCGTGCCCAGATGATCCGGTAGAAATATGATTCTCCTCCCCTGGGTACTGTCTGTGTCGTCCAGCATGAGCTGGTTGCTCTTTATGTCTGTTCACAGCTCTTGTCCTGGGATCTTCCTTCACCTGTTTCCTGGGGTTTCCCTTTGCTTCTCTGTACTGAACCCTAGTTTCTGGATCCCATATCTCTACTGCCAACTTTCAGGTCTTCAATTGTGGTAGCTCTCTTTACTTTGATCCTGGAGCATCCCGCAAACTCTTTCCTTCATGTGGATTTCAGCCTTTGAGGTCTTCTCTTTGTTCTTTTTTAAAGTACAGGTTGAGCATTCCAAACCTGAAACTCCAAAATCCAAAATGCTCCAAAATCTGAAACTTTCTGAGCACCAACGTGATACTCAAAGGAAAAAAAAATCATTGGACTTTTTCAGATTTTGGATTTTTGAATTTGGAATGCTCACTGGTAAATATAAAGCACATAGTCCAAAAACTGAAAAAATTTAAAATCTGAAACACTTCTGGTCTCGAGCATTTTGGACAAGGGATATTCAACCTGCAGTATAAACCATAGTGATAGAATCCTAGACTGTTAGAGGTGGAAGGGACTTTCAGGCTTACCTAGTTCTAACCCTCTAGCTCCCTGGCACCTGGAAATCCTAGAAGACCATTGATTGTTCAGCCATCCCACCCCATACTGCCCCCCGAACCTGTGTTTCCTGACACCCATTCTTGTCTCTCTAGTCCACCAGTAATGTGGGCTTGGGAGTCAGACAGTCTTTAATATTAGGCTCCACTCAATCCCTTGGCTGTATAACTTTTGGCAGGTTTCTTAATCTTGTGGTCTCTTTCTCATCAATAATATGGGGATTAAAAGAGTCACATGAATTCAGAACACTGGAGCTGCACCAAACATTGATGTTCTAGGAGATGGTTCTTTTATTTCCAGACCACGTATAGTAATTTCATTAAGTACTCTTAGATAGAATTAATTGAAGTAATTTTAATTATTTAATGTTTTAAAATTAACATCATTTATAGAGATATTTGTTAATTCTTGTTTATGTGCTATTTGTTCCACTGAATATTAGTGTGTACATTTTCATGTGTTGATGTCTGCCACACATTTATCTTGTAAACCAGCCTCCTAGACAGACATTTTCTGTTTTTTGCTTTACTATAGCACAGCTATTTTTTTTAAAATGGGGCCTTTAAAGCTATTTTTTTTGGATCTACTTCTTTTTTTTTTTTTTTTTAAGACAGTCTCTCTCTTTCACCCAGGCTGCAATGCAGTGGTGTGATCTCAGCTCACTGCAACCTCGGCCTCCCAGATTCAAGTGATTCTCCTGCCTCAGCCTCTCAAGTAGCTGGGATTACAGGCGCACTACCATGCCCAGCTAATTTTTGTATTTTTAGTAGAGATGGGGTTTCGCCATATTGGCTAGGCTGGTCTCGAACTCCTGTCCTCAAGTGGTCCGCCCACCTTGGCCTCCCAAAGTGCTGGGATTATAGGCGTGAGCCATCGTGCCTGGCCAGGATCTACTTCCTAAAATGAGATGAAGACTACAGATTTGAGCAGTGTATAGCTTTAGTTTCACATTGTGGTGGATTAAATTAAATTACAAATTTGAAAGTAGGTCTTCTTTTTTTGAGACGGAGTCTCACACTGTCGCCCGGGCTGCAGTGCAGTGGCGCAGTCTCGGCTCTCTGCAACCTCTGCCTCCCAGGTTCAAGTGATTCTCCTGCCTCAGCCTCCTGAGTAGCGGGGATTGCAGGCGCCCGCCACCACGCCCGGCTAGTTTTTTGTATTTTTAGTAGAGACAGAATTTCACTATGTTGGCCTGGCTGGTCTTGAACACCTGACCTCGTAGATCCACCTGCCTCGGCCTCCCAAAGTGCTGGGATTACAGATGTGAGCCACCGTGCCCAGCCAAAAGTAGGTCTTCTTAAAAGCCCTATTCTGTCAACTGGAAAGTTCTGTTACCTGCTTTCTCTGTCTTTTTGGTTCTTTGTTTTTTTGAGACAGAATCTCTGTCACCTAGGCTGGAGTGCAGTGGCACCATCTTGGCTCACTGCAACCTCCACTTCCCGGGTTCAAGCGACTCTTGTGCCCCAGCCCCCCGAGTGGCTGGGATTACACGCTCGCGCCACCTTACCTGGCTAATTTTTGTATTTGTAGTAGAGATGGAGTTTCACCATGATGGCCAAGCTGGTCTCGAACTCCTGACCTCAAGTGATCTGCCTGCCTTGGCCTCTCAAAGTGCTGGAATTACAGACATGAGCCACCACGCCTGACCATCCTGCTGTCTCTTTCGTTCCCACCTTTCCTGTGCTGTAGTATTAATTGAGTTTCCTAATGACTATTTTGAGATTTTGAGGACTATAATCTTCAATTATCGTCTAAATATTAAAGGAAAACATTATCTTAGTACTATTTTTCTGTATTTTTTCTAATTTTAATTACATTTATTTATTTATTTATTTATTTTTAATTTTTTTTGTAGACAGCCTTGCTGTGTTGTTCAGGCTGGTCTCAAACTACTGGCCTCAAGCAATCCTTCTGCCTCAGCTTCCCAAAGTATTGGGATTATAGGCGTGGCCAAGTTTTTCTAATTTTTTAAAAGCTGGCCATCTGCATTTATAGAAATAGTAGTGTATAGTAGAGATCAGCAAACTTTTTATGTAATGGACCAGACACGAAATATGCTTTGCAGGCCATACAATCTGCCACAGTTACACAGTTCTGCTCTTGTAGCAGGAAAGCAGACATAGACAATGTATAATGAATGGCCTAGCTATGTTCTGAAAAAATCTTGTTTACAAAAGCATGTGAAGAGCTAGATTTGGTTCTCAGGACATAGTCTGCTGACCCTTGATCTGAACCATACATTGAAATTTGGTGGGCAGAATGGTCCACAGGTGGTCAGGCATAGTGGCTGACACCTGTAATGCTAGCACTTCAGGAGGCCAAGGTAGGAGGATCACTTGAGCCCAGGAGTTTGAAACCAGCCTTGGCATTATTGTGAGACTCCATCTCCACACGCATACACACACACACACACACACACACACACACACACACAGAAACTGGGTTTGGTAGTGTGCATCTGTGATTTTTGCTACTCAGGAGACTGAGGCTGAAGTGGGAGGATTGCTTGAGTCTGGGAGGTCAAAGCTGCAGTTATGCCACTATACTCCAACCTGGGTGACAGAGTGAGATTGTCTCAAAAAAGAAAAAAAGAATGGTCCACAAGCCACGGTAAAGAACCAAGTGTATAAAAATTTAGCATGAGAGAATTCTACTGTGATTCACACAGAAATTCATACATATGTTCCTGCCATCTAGAGAAACCCGTGTAGCTGGGCTACTGGAACAGAGCCACTGGCCTGCCCTGCTGTTCTTTGATGATGAACCAAATGATGATGTGTTGTGGGCTCTGGAAGAAAGTGACTGACAGCAGAGTTGGGCAGGCATTTCAGAAAATCATTCTGGCACCCTTGGAACTTTTATGGAGTTTTCTGCAGCAACAGCTCTGTCTGGTACATCAGTTGACAACTCAGGTCTCCTTGGGTCTTGCTTGTCAGGCTTTGGCATTTAAATGGAAAGAAAAAGAATAAGCATTAAGGAAAGCGAGAGCACAGCAGAATCAATTTCATAGTCTCTCATAGTTTCTACCATGGGAGAAAAATGGGCATTATACTGCTCACAGGCAGAATAAAGACTCACTGGAAGCATTGCTAAGCTGCCTCCTCCAGAAGATGTCAGCGGGGCAGTTGTGTCAGTTGGTGTTCCCTGAACCCTGAGCCCAGCTTTGGGGTACTCTTTGCTTCCCACCCATGAAGTGAAAGTGAGCAGACTCTCAACCTTCTGCTTTCTTCCTCCAAAATAAGTGAGTTTTTGAGTATACTTTCTAATAACAGAATTACTCTGTAACTATGTAATAGTGACTCAAATTCTGTTATAAGCTTCCTGGAGAGGAGAATAGGCATCTTCTAAAAAGTACAAGAACAGCATTAGAATGACAGAATTTTGGAATAAACAGTTTTGTACTGTAAGAACAGGGAGGATGATCGTGGGTATAACTAATTAAATCTTTTTTTTTTTTTTTGAGATGGAGTCTCACTTTTTCGCCTAGGCTGGAGTGCAGTGGCACGGTCTTGGCTCAACGCAACCTCTGCCTCCCGGGTTCAAGCGTCCTGCCTCAGCCTCCTGAGTAACTGGGATTACAGGTGTGTGCCACCACACCTGGGTAATTTTTTGTATCTTTAGTAGAGATGGAATTTCACCTTGTTGGCCAGGCTGGTCTTGAACTCCTGACTTCAAGTGATCTGCCTGTCTTGGCCTCCCAACTTGCTGGCATTACAGGCGTGAGCCACCGCACCCGGCCAACTAATTATCTCTTATACCAGATCCCACTTTTTACTTAGTGCTGTTAGCATAGCAGTTTTTATAAATATTCTTCAGGTAGGACCTATATGCCTTGATATCAAAGAGATAGAATGAATTGCTCATTTTTGTTCCCAGCCTTCTTTCTAGAAATCTGCCTTCCTTCTTCCTGTCAAATGTTAGCAGAGCACCGTCTCTTCTTTAGCTGTCACTGCTTGCCTTGTACAGTGAAGGAAGTCTGGTGAGCAGCAGTCCAGGAACTGCCCAGGGGTACCCTAGGTTGGGGGTTTTCCTAGGCCCTTACACAGAGCACACAATTTATCCTTGATATATGCTGTCATGTGGTTTGGGCATTTACTGGCATTGAACTTCCTTGAGTGGACAGTAGTGTCGTTTCAACCTGTTTTTTATAATGTGTAAATTTGGATGCTTTTATAGGTAGAAGCCACTCATTCTTCATCTACCCTTTTTTCAGTATCTGGCACCAATTCTGACCCAGTCATTTGTGATCCCTGGCTCTTGTGATATGCGGAAGATTTCCAGGCAGTTTTTGTGGAACACCTCCCCGTCCAGCTCTAATCAAGCACCATATAAACAAGAAATTGCCTGGTCAAACCTGTGAGGACTGTATTCTGACTGTCAAAAAGATCAATACTGACACCAGAATGGCAGCTACTCTTAAGTCGTTAAAACTTTTAAGATACCGAGCACTTTGCAGTCCTTCTGCCTGTGGTGCAGCCCGAAGTGTATCATACTGGAATGTGAGCAGCAAACAGCATGGGGGACAGGACCCTCCAGAACACATTAGCCTCTGCCATTCTGCCAAAAAAGTTAAGAACATTTGTAGCACCTTCTCTTCTCGGAGGATCCTCACAACCAGCAGTGCCTGCCCAGGTTTGGAATTCAGCAAGACTTCTTCCTCTAAGGCCAGCACTTTGCAGCTGGACTCACCCAGGGCCACAAGAGTTGATGAAGAGGATGTAGAAGTTTTTGATTCCTTTGCAAACGTCCGAGTTTTCCTACAGCTAAGACCAGAATACCGTGTTCACAGCTATAACGCATCCGAGACTTCTCAGCTCCTGTCTGTTTCAGAAAGTAAACTAATTTTGCACAAAGTCACAGTTTATCAGAATAAACTGCAGGCCCAAGTCATTGTTGATTATTTGTGTAAGCTGAGCTCTTTGCCTGCAGAGCAGCATCCTCTCTTGCTGCGCAGTACCAGCTTTGCTCTGCTCTGCCAGCTGAGTGTGAAGAAGATACAGCTCTTTGATACCCAAGATCTGATCAATGTTTTGAAAGCTTTTGTCATTTTAGGAATCCCTCACTCCCATTCAATGCTAGATGTGTATGAGACCAAATGTTGCCATCAAGTATGGGAGATGAGTATGGATCAGCTCCTTTTGGTGGCTGATCTCTGGAGGTACTTAGGCCGCAAAGTACCTCGGTTTTTAAACATTTTTTCTAGTTATCTTAATTTGCACTGGAAAGATCTATCCTTGTCTCAGCTTGTTCACTTAATTTATGTTATAGGTGAAAATCGTCAGGTATCCCAGGACCTAATGCAAAAATTGGAATCATTGATCCTTAAATATATAGATTTGATCAATTTAGAGGAGGTTGGTACCATCTGTTTGGGGTTCTTTAAATCAAAGACTAGTCTCTCTGAATTTGTCATGCGGAAAATTGGAGACTTGGCTTGTGCTAACATGCAGCATCTGAGTAGTCACGCCTTAGTGAATATTGTTAAAATGTTCCGTTTCACTCATGTGGATCACATCAATTTCATGAAGCAGCTTGGAGAGATTGCTCCTCAGCGAATTCCTTCACTGGGAGTTCAAGGTGTCATGCACCTGACTCTCTGCTGCTCGGCCTTACGCTTCCTGGATGAAGGAGTAATGAATGCAGTGGCTGCGTCTTTGCCTCCTAGAGTGGCACACTGTCGAACTAAAGATGTTGCCAAGATTCTGTGGTCATTTGGAACTCTGAATTATAAGCCACCCAATGCAGAAGAATTTTACTCCAGCCTGATAAATGAGATTCACAGAAAGATGCCTGAATTCAACCAGTACCCAGAACACCTGCCCACCTGCCTGCTGGGCCTGGCATTTTCAGAGTACTTTCCAGTAGAGTTAATTGATTTTGCTCTCAGTCCAGGGTTTGTCAGGTTAGCTCAGGAGAGAACCAAGTTTAACCTCATTAAGGAACTGTATACCCTCGACGGTACAGTTGGCATTGAGTGTCCAGATTACAGAGGCAATCGTCTTAGTACTCACCTTCAGCAAGAGGGGTCTGAATTTCTGTGGAATTTAGCAGAGAAGGATATGAACTCAAAGCCTGAATTCTTAGAAACTCTCTGTTTACTTGAGACCATGTTGGGGGGGCCCCAGTACGTCAAGCACCATATGATTTTGCCTCATACCCGATCTTCTGACTTAGAGGTCCAGCTTGATGTTAACCTGAAGCCATTACCATTTAATAGAGAAGCCACACCAGCTGAAAATGTAGCCACATTAAGGCTTAAGCATGTGGGAGTCAGCCTTACAGATGATTTGATGAATCAGTTACTAAAAGGGAAAGCAAGAGGACATTTCCAGGGTAAAACTGAGTCAGAGCCTGGGCAGCAGCCCATGGAGTTAGAGAATAAGGCAGCTGTACCTTTGGGGGGCTTCCTTTGCAATGTAGCAGATAAATCAGGGGCCATGGAGATGGCTGGCCTGTGCCCCTCAGCCTGCATGCAGACCCCAGGAATGAAGCTGGCTATTCAGTTCACAAACAGGAACCAATATTGCTATGGCTCCAGGGATCTCCTTGGACTGCACAGTATGAAGAGGCGGCAGCTGGCTCGGCTTGGCTACCGTGTGGTAGAGTTATCCTACTGGGAATGGTTCCCACTACTGAAACGAACTCGCTTAGAAAAGTTGGCATTTCTTCATGAGAAAGTATTCACCTCTGCTCTCTGAAGGGCATTTAGGGGCATTTCTATGACAAAGCTGTAGGTGTATACTGTACCAGGTGTTGCAAAATGATTATAAAAGCCAGAATGTAAGTTTGGCAATAAAATAGTCTATTGAGGAGACTTAGTTGTGTCCAAGGCAGATTAGAGCTAGTGTATGTTACTGTGAATTGTAATGTAGTTGGATTGTACAAATTGCTGCAAATGTATACATATTACTCTTAGTAAATAATAAACATCTTAATATGTCCTAAGGTCAAGTAAGTCCTTGTTGGATTTTTCTTTCTGTTTACCAGCCTTATGTCACAGAGTTTTTAGAATAAAAGTATAGTCAGACATTGTGTAAAGCCAATTTTTAAAAATTTTATTCTTTTCTGGAGACCCCCCCACCCACTCACAGATATTTTTATTGTTTTTCTTTTTAAGCCAGTTTTTTTGTTTGTTTTTTGAGACGGAGTCTTGCTCTGTTGCCTGGGCTGGAATGCAGTGGCATAATCTCAGCTCACTGCAACCTCCGCCTCCTGGGTTCAAGCAATTCTCCTGCCTCAGCCTCATGAGTAGCTGAGACTACAGGCATGTACCACCACTCCTGGATAATTTTTGTATTTTTAGTAGAAACGGATTTTCTCCAGGTTGGCCAGGCTGGCCTCGAACTCCTGACCTCAGGTGATCCGCCTGCTTGGCCTCCCAAAGTGCTGGGATTACAGGTGTGAGTACTTCACGGAGCTGGGGTGGGAGGATCTCTTGAGCCCTGGGAGGTTGTGGCTGCAAGTGAGGCTGAGAGGCACCACTGACCTTCAGCCTGCACGACAGCAAGACCCTAACTCAAAAAAAAAAAAAAGGGGGGGCCAAAGTGTTGGTGACTCAGGTCTGTAGTCCCAGCACTTTGGGTAGCTTGAGGCAGGGCTGATCCTTGAACCCAGGAGTTCCAGACCAGCAACATGGCAAAACCCATCTCTACTAAAAATACATAAAGTTAGCTGGGCATGGGTGATCTGTAACCTGTCAGCCCCAGCTACCTGGGAGGCAGAGGTGGGAGATCACCGTAGCTCTTAGGAGGTGCCAGACTGGCAGTGAGCCGTGATTTGGCCAACTGCACTCCACCGGCTGGACAGAGTGGAGACCCTGTCAAAAACAAAAAAGCTCTCTAGCTCACTTACATTTCAGGATGTTTCCTCCAATTACATTTCTTTTCACTATGGCTCCTAAAATTGTAAAATTTCTATTCTTGTTAGATGTGATTGATTGTCCCTTAGTTGCCTGATTTCGCTTTTCTTGCTTTAAAGAGCCATTTCAGAATTAGTGAACTTAAAAATTTTTTCTGGCTCCCCTTTCTCACATTTGCACTTGTCCTTGCCTAAACTCCCGCTACCTCTCTCTCAGTATTGTTTCTCCTTAAAACGTGTAGCCTGAGGAGAATAGAGATCTACAAAGAGCACATGGTGGGCTTACGTCGTTCCCAATCTGATGCTTAGAGAAGGGTTTATCAGTGGCAGTTAGCGCAGATGAGAAGGAAACATGCTACTTGTATATTTAGAAGTCCCAGTGGGATTCAGGTTTGGTT